TGTCAATAACCAGCCGTGGATGGACCGCCTTATGAGCAGCTTTCAAGCTGCCGCCTCTACGCCCCAGTCGAGATCATTGGTGATTACACCACCGTTCTCGGTTGACGAGAAGTCAGGGAACGGACATGGGGTTCGCATAGCACGAGCAGGACTCGTATCACGCCACTGGCGCAGCTCGCCTTCCTCGTCATCCCATGCGGGAAAAGGAGTATCAGACTCGTACTCGACTACCTCCACGTCCCCTCCACATCCTCAACGGGGTCACTCGTCATTGATAGCGTGCGCACAGCGCGACGCTCGTGCTCATCAAGTCTAGGATTTACATCCCCCGGTGCCGTGGGCACACTGTCCGACATTGCACCGCGTGCGGGAGACGAAGTTGGGCTCTGCCTGTGTTCGCTGTCAGAACCAGCGATACTTGGTGACTTCAGTGTCGTTGACACAGGGCTCATTGAGCACGGAAGTCGTTTTATACAAATGAATTAAGTTGCAGTTTCTAGCGGACACGCGAGCCTCGTTGAGGCAATAATCGATTGGTACTGTAAATGTTCTCAATCTTAATGGGGGAGGGTGTAACGGGGTTACACATACCCTAGTAACAGGGGTGTGTCACACGAGATGGGCATATTGTGACTGCACCCAAACAAGAATACGGTATGTGGCTAGGTTATTCATGTATTTCGCTTTACTATATATATAATCTAAACATTTAAAATTAGGCGGCTTTGCGCAGATAAAAATAAATAAAAATCAGTTTTGAATTTGAACCAAAGAGGTTATTAGACTTGAATAAGGTACTAACTACTCTTGGATTTAGCGGATTGCGATCCGCTACACTCGTATCGATTGTTGTAAAGGACGAAAGGTCGGTGACCTAAATTACGCTTCCGCAAGCGCTAAGCAACGGCAACCCCGCTGCATTATATATGATAAAGAAGTTTTGGTGGTCAACGTGAATTTTTAACAGCGGTACCCTGGCCCTACTCTTATGAGAGATTCGATTGTAAAACATCTGCTCAATTTGAAGTAACTTCGCGACCATCGAATGTAGCTGACCATTCGCGTTGTAGGGCACTTCGTCTGCCTAATCTAGTATAGATCATAGGTCATTGGCCTCGGGGGAAGGATATATACTAGTAGGTGCATAAAAGAATGGATTCCTGGTGCATTAATTGCCTATCGGACTTTAAGTGTTGCTCAGATGCACCAAAGCAACGGACCACCCTAACTGGTACTATTATGGATGAAGTGATGGACTCCGTAAAGGAGACCAGGAACCTAGCCTCATGCTGCTAGCCTTATGCTGCTGGCCTTATGCTGCTAGCCTTATGCTGCTAGCCTCACGCTATGTATTCGACAGGATCTCATTATTGTTGATAGTAAAACGAGATCATTCAGTACTAAACTTAATTCTGATAGGTCACTTTGTAAGGGCATTAGTATTTTTGACGCTCTCGATTCTGCTCTTGGGTGGAGCCTAGAAGCTCATTCACTGTGCATTTGTCAACTCGGATTTGTAGAGACGGAGTATCCTCTGCGCGAGGCGCACGGCAACCTTTTTTACTCGATAGCTGTGCTCTTTTCATCACATACGACATCTGTTAAGATAGTGAAACGTTTCTCAGTCAATTTCACGTTATACTATAAAATGGTTATGACAATTGTTTGGTTGAAAGTCGAGTTACAAAGCCACGAAAGTATATACAAACTTATGCTCTGAAGTCTAAGGGCTATTTGGTAGTAATTCTAATAACCGGCTTATCAAATCGGATGGTTGATTAGTGGTTCAGAAAGAAACGTTGTCAACACACCCGAACAAAATCAAGACATCAAAGTGA